CATATTATAAGAAACCTCTAACACATGAGACAAAGATTATCCTGAAGGATCCAGACATGGTGGCACACACCTGCAACCCCAGCACATACAATGCAGAGGCGTTGAGGACTGCCTCAAGCTTAGAGTGTGGAGTAAGTTTCAGGCCAACCAGGGTTTCACAGTGAACCTTGTATCAAAACAAAGGGGTCTGGGGGAAGCTCAGGTATGGGTAAAGTGCTTGCTCTGCAAGATGGAGGACCGGAGTGCACACGTAAGAGCCAGACACGACAGCAAATATCCATAACTCCATTACTGGGAGTGTTCAGCACAAGCAGATGGGTCCCTGAAGCTCACTAGCCAGCCAGTCTAGGTGAATTAATAAACTTCAGGTTCAGTGAAGAGACCCTGCCTCAAAACCAAACCAAACCCAAACCAAACCAACAAACAAGGTGCAGAGTAATTGAGGAAGACACAGACATCAGTGTAGTGGGTAGCCATTCCAGCTTTGATCTGGAAGTTCCAACCCCCATTGAGACTTCGGCAACTGTCACGCCTACAAGGCGGGGCCCAGGGAGGCGCCTGGAGACCCGAGATCTGGATGGGCCAGCGCTCTCTCTCTGTTCCAGGACCCTGGACGGTGGAGGTGGGCCAAGCAGAGCTCCAGAGAACACCACTGGACTGCGATACACCTTCCCCAGACCCTGCGACCTACCTATCCCTTAATTTGTAAGTTACGCCATTAAATAAATCTCCTTTTCACTACGTGGAGTGGCCTTAATAATTTCACCAATACATCAGCCTTCATCTTTTACATACATGTACACACATGCATACACAGGCACTTACATATACCACACACAGAGAGAATTATACTGAAAGAAAAGTAAATCCACAAGGAAAATAGGCAGTTTTAAATTTCTGAATACATGTGGAACAAGTGAACAGAAAGTCATTAGTGACTGCAGACAACACTTCATAAGTGGGACCTGATATAAACACAACATTCTACCCTCAAGGTTACATGAAATAATCACAGTTGCTTGTAAACTGTACACATTTCTGTAAGAAAGTATAGGGAACGTTAGCTCCACAGCTGAAGAAAATAAAAATCAATATACTTTCTAAAACCACTTAGCCATAAGTCACAATTCCTGAATTATTTAAATGTCAATATTTTAGTCTGAACTTGATTTCAATGGCTAATACCTTATCTTGAATCATGACATCTGTATATCCAAGTAAAATTTTCTATACTTTGAAGGTGCTAGTGTCTGAATGGGAAATGTTCCTCACAGGCTCACATATTTGAACAAGTGGTCCCTGGTTAATGGTGCTACTTGGGTGGGCTATGGGGAGGCGTGGCATTGCTGGAAGAAGTATGTCATTGGGGGTGACTTTTGTGAGTTCATAGCCTCACCCCACTTACAGTGGGTTCTTTACCCTACATGTTTGTGGTTGAATGTGATCTCTCAGCCTGATACAGTAACCTGCTGCCAAGCCTCCCCAGACATTATGGACTCTCCCTCTAGAACCATAAGCCCAAAGAATTGCTTTAAGTCAGGGAATTTTATATCCCATTAACAGACAAGTAACCAACAGAGTCCATACTGTGTTTCTGCGGAAAGCACCTGGCCATCAAGCAGGTACTCTATGACAAATAAGCACCCAGCTACACAAGTAGAGAAACCACTAGTCCACCAACACATTTCAGTTCTTTGAAAAAAAATGGAGGCTAGCACATGTACACATGGGGCTTTTGAGGGGAGATGGAGACACAGACATGGGAGTGGTATTAAAATTAGATCTACTTAAACATCATTGTTATTCCTGGCTTGGGAAAAGCACTTGTCCACATATCTTTTTCAGCATTTATATTTTACACACTCATCAGGAGCCACCCATTTCAATACAATCCGGGATATTCAATAACTACTTGTGACCAATTTATTACTTCAGTTTCCTCCCTTTCCTCGCCCACCCCTCTAAACTAGGGACATTTAAAATATCCTGGACTCCCAACAGAATATGATAAAATGTATTTTATTCCTATTGCCAATCTGAAGGGGCTGGCTGAGAACATACAAAGTCTATTTGCTCATGTCCTTTAAAAAAATCATTTAAAACATATGACAACAGAAATGGATATGGAATCATAAATTACCAGTTGTGTAGGACTCTCCCTCCCTCCCTCTCTCTCTCTCTCTCTCTCTCTCTCTCTCTCTCTCTCTCTGTTCTTTCAAGACAGGATTTCTCTGTGTAGCCTTGGCTGTCCTGGAACTTGCTCTGTAGACCAGGCTGGCCTCGAACTCACAGAGATCTACCTGCCTCTGCATCCCGAGTGCTGGGATTAAAGGTGTGTGCCACCACCGCCTGGCTTTGTGTAGAACTCTTAACAGTTGACTTCTGTGGATTCATCTAAGGGTTAACTCTTTGAAAAGAAACAGGAGAGTGCAAAACAAGGCTCTAAGAACAACATTTCCAACCCCTGATAAACTTCCTCTCCAGTGTGGAATCCTGTCCACCTCTGGAATTATAGACAAGCCACTCAAGACTTCCAGGGATAGCCCCAGGACTTTTAGCATTTAAAGCCAAGTATAAACCCAATCAATCCTAATTACCTATTTCCGTAAGTAATCCAGCCTCCAAATCCCTTGGGTCCTGCACTTCACATTTATTTTTAGTTATATATAAAGTTAACAGGTGTCATCACTGAAAGACCTTTCAGAACAGCATTCTAAGTGACTGCAAATGTCTCTGTTTTTGTGCATGTCAAACATCACTGGGAAATAAGCCATAGCAACATAAACAAGTTCTTAATAGCCACATTTATTTTTTAACAGGTCATTTCTGTATCTAATCTAATTTCTTTGTTAAATGGTCAGGCCATAATAAACAAAATCAGAGATGTGGTTATTCCAGAGGTTTCCTGTAGCTAAAGTAAAGAAAATTTAGATGACGACCTAGAACAGGACACACCTCCTTAAATATCACACATAGCCACTGTATTACTTCATTATACCGAACGTCTTCTTGCCCAGCACTGAATGTTCACATCACAGGCCTTCAGCATCTCAACAGCCACATCTACTGACTTAATCTCCTCAGAACAAGAACACGGGAGGGAGAGCAGCTGCACCAGCCCTGGGTGGCGGAGGCTCTGTTCAGAAGCCTGCTGACTGGACCCGCCCTACTGCAACTCCTGCAAGTAGCCTGTGAAAATGTCAGCTTGGAGTCTGTTCTGGAGGGCAGGGTCCCTAGAGAGCCTGAATGTTGGCCTGTTTGTCTTTTCACATGCTTCACGATCTCAAAGTCCTTCCTTGTAGACACTGACTGATGCCCAGGGAATGCTAGGATTGTGGGAACTGGCAGGACCCACGAGAGACAACTTCATGGGAAACCTGTACCCACTGCTTTTGCCTTCTCAGGGCTCAACAGATAAGCTGGTTGTTAGTGCTGTGAAGGTATAGGAGTGACAGGAAGAAGCTGTGTGCCATTTTATTTTCTTTAAAAAGAAATAATTGTGGAAACAGGAAGCAAAATTACTAGGACTACTAAAAACAAAAAAACAAACACATCAAGTTAAAAAATATCACTGGGGGAAACCTATAAAAATGATATCCATTTCTCATGAACAGATTCTCTGAGCATCTACACTGTTTTAAGCACTACAGAGATTCACCTATTCTCCTGTCAAAGCAATCCCACAGGGCAGGACTAGGTGTGGCCACCAATCTGCAGGTGGGAAGCAGGCAGAGGGAGGAAAACACACAGCTAGGAATGGTCCAGCTAGGCACTGGCCCCTGGCTGGCACTCATAACCAACCTGTGTGTTGCTCCTTGGAGGCTCTTGCTCGTCACGCATGTAATGTGAGCATGACTGCTCACAATGTGCCCTGAGTGTTCTTTGAGAATCATCTCTACACTGCTTGTCTGTATATGGCCAGGGGAATTGCTTTTAGAGACCCACATGTCCAACAGGACTACACTGTACTCTGAATTTCTGACCTTGTACTAGGGGCTAGAAATCTAAAAATTATTTTAAAGCAAGGCACACAATGGTCATCTCAATAAATGCTTGCAAATAATATTTTTAAAAAATATCTTTTGGTAGCCAGTAAGATGGCTCAGCTGGTCAAGACACTTACTGCCAAGCCTGATGACCTGAGTTCAAGCCCCAGAACCCACATAATGGAGGGAAAGAACTACGCTGCCTTTACATGGCATAAGCACACGTATGCACACATTCATACACATAAATAAATAAATGTAAAATAAAAAGCCATCTTTATTTCTGTCTTTGGAGTGCCAATTTTCAACACGTTGGGAGAAGCTGGCTAACTGGCAGCCCAATCAGTATCTTAATTGCCTTGTCAGGATGATGGTGTCTATTCCAACAGACAGCATGCCAACCACACAAACACTGGCAGGCTCTAAACGCAGGCTGTGAGAGCCAAAAGTGAGTGACAAGTGAGATTCCCACTTTCCTTATAAACACAAGGTCAAACAGCAAAATTCTAAGATGGTGAATAAACATATTAGCACTCTCAATGAAAACAGCAACATACATGACAAGAAAAGAACATCTATCATTTGGGCTTAAAAAAAAAAAAACGTGAAATAGTGCCTTTTAAACTGACAGACTGATGCCACCATCAACACATAACACATACCTGGCCAACCTCTGAGAGCCATAGGAAGAGATACGGCATATTCTAAAGTAGACACGTTATTTTAAAAATAGCATCCATCAAGTCAATTTCGCTTTCTTTTTGACAATGAGGATCATTTGACTAACAGAGAGCTCATATGTACGTTTAATAATATGACACGTGACTACTCTGGAGCTATGGAAAATTCATCAGTTGGCTGAGATGGAAGCATATTTATGGTTCTGCTGCCTAACGAAGAACACAAGACCAAAGTGAAAAAGAGACAGAGGAGTACATGATGTGATGAGAAAGGGCCGAGAGAGACAGACAGTGTGATGGGTGGACTATGACACAGAGTGCTTCTCGGACTTACCCGTGCTCACAGATTGAGCCGGCAGAGGAAGCTGGAGTCCTGACTCCCCAATGACTATACTTCCTGTTAATAACAGTGAGGGCAGCAGTGAGGCAGGAGAGCCAAGAGCATGGACAAAGGAGTTAGAAAACACTGGGTATGACTGCTTGTTAGTTTGAGTGATCATTAACTACAAACCAAAGAGAAAATTCTAATCCATTTGCTGTTCTCATCCATCACGTTGCTTTCTGTTACAACAGTACCATGATATTGACATCTTAAAGTATAAGCTAAATGACACTGAATAAAAATACTCATGGGCCATGTTTCCCAACACCCCTCCTTTATTAACAGGGTCTTCACAGGGATGGCGGAGAGCAAGTGCAAATGTCTCTTTTCTCTTCCTTGATGCTCTCTGAGGGACAGCAATGACTACTTCACAAATTTGTTCATTGTTCACCAGTCCAATGTGTCTAATAAAAATGTACAGTAGATTCTAATTTTAAGAAAATCATCTCAACTTATATAAAAAATATACTTCTTGAATCTAGTACCTAGAAAAGCCTTTTAAAGTGTTTAGGTTAGGCATTTCTGTGTGTTATGATGATATGATTTCAAAGCTAGCTTAAACTAAATTGCTCATTACTATCATTCTCTGAGTCGCCCTGTCTTATATAAGGAAATCATCGATGTTCCAGGGGCACTTCTGTAAGAGACACCAGATAAATGACTCTGAATGAGGTGTCAGGGGTGCTATAAGTCGGGTTTGTGGTCCTGTGAAACTGTGGGCTCCAGCGGCCCCTAAAATGCATGTGGATAAGCATTATGAGCATTCTGGCCTTCTACTGCTGCACCAGGTAAGATTCCTGCCTAGCTCAAAGGTGTGGAAAAGAGTCCATCTCCTGCTCCCTCCTACCAGGCATATACTACAAGGATGTGTTGGACAACACACTGAAGCAAACTAAATCCTTACCAACAACTGTCTGAATAAGAAACCCAGAGCAGAAAAAAGAGGGCAGACAGGTTATAGGTGCATACTGACACTGTGAAACAAACAAGTTATTAATAGGTGACTACAGGCCATTATGAAAGGGAGCACCTCACCTTAGGGCTTATCAGGCTTCTTTTTCCTTCTGAAGGAAACACCACTGAAGAATTTCATTTGCAGGTGTCACTCTAGAGTTTGTTTTTGGACTCTATAATTGTGCCTAGTCTAAGTCCTAAGGCTGATTGAAAAAAATTAAAAACTTGACTAAGGAATATTAGAAATACACAGTTATTTTCTTAGTCTGATTCCTGAAGAAAAACAAATGATCAAAATTCGTCAGACTGTTTAATGATGCCCTGAAGAGTACCAGTAAGTACTTTGGATCCTAGTTTACAGAAAATGATCCACTGCTGTTCTCTCCAATATAAAGGGCCAGGAAGAGCCTCAGCTCCGCTGCCTAGCACCTACTCATCTCCTGTGATACTTTCCGAGTTTTGTGGGTTCTGGCTCTAGAAATAGAACCACCTGTCTCCTCGCATCTCCATTCCACTGTGCCAGCTCATGTGCAGTCTGAGGAGCAGAGTTTGCACAAGAACAATGTTTATTACCTTCGCACATTTCCAAACACCTGGACCAACAGGTTAATGAGGAGTGGGGAAATGTTCTCAGAGAAATGGCAAAGAACAGAGCAGCTGTGAACAGAAGCCATTATTCACTAAGGTGCAAGGCAAGTGGCTGCCCTTGGCACAGTCTGGAAAGTTCCCTGTCTGTGTGTGGCTGAGTCCAAAGCCAAGAGCTCTCTGTGTTTCATTGTGTGCAACCAACTTTTGAGTTTGTCATTTTCCTCCAGTAAGGGTCACTGATGAACAAAGCAAAAGAGGGTCTAGGTTTTTCACTATCAAATTTGATGGAAGAAAGAAAATCTCGGAAAAAAAAAATTCAGATGCTGCTGTAAGCTCAAGTCCCTAACTACGATAACCAATGATCTGAATGTCTTAAAAAGAAGTCTCCTTACCAGGACCCCACACATGCTATTTTACAGTAAACACTTCAGATGAGATCAGGTGAGTTAGAAGTGGTAGGCCACAGTCAAAAGCCTTTCAGGATAGGCAGGCAGCAGGCACTGACCTTACTACTACTGAGTTACTGAGCCTGAGGCTGTGTGAATGGCGCTGAGTCTCCCATCAAAATACCCAAGATGCTCCAGAGAGTGTGCAGCTCTTTATCACAGCAGCTACACGGCTTCTCTACATGTCCTGCTGTCCCACCCTGCAAACCACCTAACAGAGTGTCCACCGGAGCCAAGCTCTCCTTGAGTGTGGATGTAGGAAGAGACTGCAGCTCCTGCGGGGAATGTCCTCCACCTGAGCTTTTCCTATTGAACACTAAAGGCCAACATAAATATAGAAATAAGATGGGGCTAACTGGTATGTGATATGACACAATGAAGTTTGGCTTATGTGTCTATGTATCTACTTTCCTTTATAGGGCCCATCTAGAAAAGCTAACTACCTAAATGATCGTCTTATTGAGATGTTACTAGCTGTAATTTTAGCAACATTCAGACATAAAGAAAAATCTAGTGTACTTGTGCTGAACATCTTCCATATTTACTTCAGAGTTGGAACATTCTGCCACTCAACTAATGGAATAACAAAAATATTTCTAAAAAGATATTATGAGGGAAGATACTGGAATCATTACCTAAATGTGAACCCATCTGCTCACAGAGCTGAACTACAAGCTATGATGACATAATCCTTCTAATCACTAATCACAGACTTAACTACCTATAATTTTTCCAACAGAAAAGAATCTAACATCAGTGAGAAAACTTAAATACTTAGGACTAACAACAAAACACACAAGCAGGGACATGTGAATGTGATGCTTTTATAGTGGTCACACAATACTTTGTAAGTGGTTTCAAGACCAATACCTCCATTTCGTTATGATTTAAACACAAGAGAACAAAGAGCTAAAAATATGAACAACATACATGAAAATATCAAAGAAAGCAAGTTAGGGTCTATCACCTATTTTTATTTATATATCTATATCTATATAGATATAGATATATATATCACGTTTTCTCAAAACCCAGATTTCTTTTTATTTAACATTTTAATTGGACAAAATGGTACACATTTATAACATACATGTGTAATGGTGTTCTGAAATATACACACTCTATGGGGTATCTAAATGAAGCCTTATATCACACTGTCTTTGTAGTTGAGGACACTTAAAGTCTCCTCTTAGAACTGTTCAGGAAGGCCATATATCATTATAACCACACACTGATCCAACTCACTCCTCCTGACTCAGGTTTTTATCCCCTGACCCATAGACTCCCTAAAAATCTACATTTCTGGTAGCATGCACACAAAGATCTCCTTCATACCTTGGAATGTGTATTTAAAGCAGGCAGATGCTATGAGCCTGAAGTTAGAATACATGCCTGAACATAAGGCAACATTTCAAACTTCTTGCAGTCATCTCTTAGAAAAGCTCCTGTTTGAATCCTTAGATGGTACCTCACTGTGAGATGGTCTTCCAGAAATTGCTCTTGGGGAAAACACAATGGATGAAAATCCACTTCATTCAAAATTAATTTTATGTTTATAGAATCACTATAGAAAAAAATCAATACTTATTTTGAAGCTATAATCTTAAAGTACTACATTGTTGTTAAAATGTTTTAAAACTACTTTTAAAAATAGTCAATTTTTTATTAATTAATTTATTTTTATTTTATGTGCATTGGTGTTCTGCCTGCATGCATGTCTGTGTGAGGGTGTCAGTAGTTACAGACAGTTGCCAGCTGCCATGTGGGTGCTGGGAATTGAACCCAGGTCCTCTGGAAGAGCAGTCAGTGCTCTTAACCGCTGAGCCATCTCTGCAGTCATAAATAGTCAAATATTTTTCTCTCAGAAAGGACACTAGTAAAAGTTGTTGATTCTGTGAAACAACCAGGCAGGCAAAGGACAGACTGGAGGCCAGCATACTCTTCCTGTGTTCTCAGAACAGCTAAACAATGAGCATTTGGCTTGAAAACAGAACACAAAGTGGGTTTCTTCTAAAACAGAAGTTCACGTCTGCACAAGACTACAAATGATGACAAATCAAACAAATGATTATGTCACAGAGATCATGAACAGGAAACAACTGAAGAAAACCAGTCCTACTATTTCATGAGTGGTTCTTAAGACTCAGCATAGGATTTCAGTGCTAGATTACACATGGATTCTAAGCTGTTGGAATTCAGAGTGACAGAAATGAAGGCGTATCCTAGAAATTACAGCTCAACAGATGAAGGTGGGTTGAGAAAACACTAACCACATAGAGTTTTGGGCAGGATGGTTTTAGTAACTATGAGAGTAGAAAGAGCAATACAAATGATTGCATTATTTCATAAAACATAGCTGCTGTCTTAGTAAATTAAACACTTTATCCTTTCATCTACCTCCCTAATGACATACACAGGAAGGGAGTGTTCTTCAGTGGTAGAGTGCTTGCCTAGCCTGGATAAGGTCCTGGGTTCCAAAGTAACAAACTCCAAGTATCTAAGGGGAGCCTGTTCTCCATGTGCCCCTGACACTCAGGCATCTACATGAGCATCTGTGAGAACATGGCTAGCTATATGAACTATAGGACTATAGTGCACTGACTCCTGTGCATCCCTTCCCCTGCTACACATGGCCAGTTTGTGAGCAGTCTGTCACCTGATTTTATGCCAAACATAACTCAAATACCTGGGACATGAAACTAGTCTGGGGTACTGTGCAACTGTATTTAGTCATTACTGAGCAAATATATCTGTCTTGGTAATTATCCACAATAAAGCCAGGCTCTTGGGGACAGAACATCTAAAAAATGTCACTCAGGGCTCTTTTGGAACCAAGCCTATGTGTTGCTTAAGCCAAGGTGGCCAAGGGCAGATCCTAACAGTAAGATTCAGGACATAAAACTACATGAGAAGTTTTATGCCTTAAGAGAAGGCATAGCAAGTTCACGCCAAACCCCGTGCTGAAAGACTAAACATTACTCATTGTCCTCAGCAAGGAGAGGTTAGTGTGACTGGGACACATTCAGGCCCTAGAAACCTACCAGGGTGATAGGAAGCATTCCGCAGGAAAATCATTTTATTTCTTCTTACTTTTAAAACTATAATTTAAAAAATGTATTTTTAAAGGTAAACACGAGAATCCTGACAGCAGGGTAAACCCACTTGAAGTTCTGGGTTCTGCCTTGGCATGGTCAGCATGTTCTTTGAACATCACATTGTGTTTACATTTGAAGTGTATTAGAACTAAGTGCATCTAGTCTATATTTATTAGTATTGTTTTCTGGAGACTCTGGAATGCCTCTCTCATCAATGAGAATTTGCAACACTGATAAGAACTGGTTAAAAACATTCATTCTGCATACAAGAATGAACTAGCTCCAGATAGAACCTAGCTCATCTTGTGCCCATCAGTATAAAATCACTCAAGAATTTCTTGCTTCACTGAGGTGGCTAACTCTTACCATCTCTGAAAAAAGTTACTGGAGATGGTAAGAGGGAGAGGAGGTCACGGCCACTGCCCACTTCTTTAGAGTCAGCGACTTCACAATACCTTTCTAGGAGGAGGTCTTCCCGTCTACAAACGGGCGAGTCTCAGGCTGACTTGTAAAGGCAGTATTACCACAGACAGTTACTGGTGACACAAGCAAAGGAGACGGGGAGTGAAATCCTGCCCTTCTCAGGAACCATCTTGTCCCTGTGGGGACTGCCAAGTGTAAATGACAAAGTGTCACTCACAAATTGGGATTAACTAGGCCCACAAAGACGATGACCCTCTAGATCAAAGTCCCATATGCAGCTGAAAAACTCACCATTCTTCCGTTCGTTCAGAGGGGGTAAGTGCTGACTGGACTGCAGAGAGAGTTCCTGGAATTCGTGAGCCACAGCCTCGCTTTGAGGACTTGGTGCAAGGTGGGCTAGAGGCCCCAGCTCTTCCTCTGTGTCTACTGCCCCTGTGTGATCCATTGTGTTCCAGCCACTGGCAACGGGGAGTATGAGACACCTCTTATACGTGGCCTGTTGAAGAGACTGGCAAAATTTTAAAGTGTAAATTAAATGGTTTAAGTTTTCTCCAGTTTACACACAAGTATTAAGACAGGCTCCCAGGTTCCACTATAGTTCCGTTCTACTGCTATGTGTCTATTACTAACTAACTCTCTCTGCATCTCAGGTTCTTTGTCCAACTCACAGGAATATGGTTCCTACCTAGAAAGCATTTACACAGTAAATAAAAGCTAAGACATTTTACATATATTTTTGTATCAAAGATTAAAGAAAACTTAGCTATTGTCATTTAAAGATTTCAACACATGCTAAAATGAGAAGAGAGTCAACAAATACTAATTAAAATAAAAAGTGGGCTGGCTTGAAAGTCCATCTTGATGCCTTCCTTCTGAGTGACTCTGAATTAGTCAACAGTCACAGCCTCTTTCAACAGCCGGGGTCTCAGAATGAACGAATATAGAACAAAGAAATCACAGTTCATAAGGGATAGAAATTTTATTTTAGGTTACAGACTTGGTTTTGTTTATTACCACAGCATAACTTAGACTGTGCAGACTACTGAGAAGCTGGTAACAACAGAATCAACCACGAGAACCACAAGCATGAATAGGAAGCCAGGAGATGCCAGTCCATCCATGTTATACAGGGGCAACTTGTCTGCTGAAACTGTGGCCTACTTACATAGTAGTATTCTCTACATATAGACTGTCAGCTGCCTAGTGGCTGGGTGGTTTGCAGTTTTGACTATTACAACACAGAAATTCTCCTAGACATGAACCAGGAGTAGGATGACCAAATTACATGACAGCAGTATATGTAGATTTTTTTTTAATTTATTTTAATTTATTTTGCAATACAATTCAGTTCTACATATCGGTCACGGATTCCCTTGTTCTCCCCCCTCCCGTCCCCCTCACCTTCCCCCCAACGCCCCCCCCCCCATTCCCATCTCCTCCAGGGCAAAGCCTTCCCCACAGACTGAGGTCAACCTGGTAGACTCAGTCCAGGTAGGTCTAGTCCCCTCCTCCCAGGCCAAGCCAAACAATCCTGCATAGGCCCCAGGTTTCAAACAGCCAACTCATGCAATGAGCACAAGATCTGGTCCCACTGCCTGGATGCCTCCCAAACAGATCAAGCCAATCAACTGTCTCACCCATTCGGAGGGCCTGATCCAGTGTGGACCCCTCAGCCATTGGTTCATAGTTCATGTGTTTCCATTCATTTGGCTATTTGTCCCTGTGCTTTATCCAACCTTGGTCTCAACAATTCTCGCTCATATAAACCCTCCTCATTCTGAGAACAGGAAGAAGCAAAGTGCTAGAGAGGCCCACAGAAATCCACAAAGATACCCACACAACAGACTGCCGGCAATGGTCGAGAGACAGCCCGAACTGACCTACTCTGGTGATGGGATGGCCAAACACCCTAATTGTTGTGCTAGAAACCTCATCCAACTACTGAGGGATCTGGATGCAGAGATCCATGACTAGGCCCTGGGTGGATCTCTGGGAGTCCAATCAACGAGAATGAGGAGGGTTTATATGAGTATATGTAGATTTTTAAGACACTAGAAAAGCACTTTTCATCCCTTGTGGTGGGGTACCAGATCCCAGATGGTCCATTATCCTTGCAAATCTTTTTGTAGATTCTGTTCACTTTAGACATTTTAATGGGCATGAAGTTTTTCATGGTAGGTGTTTTTTTTTAAGATTTATTTTTATTTTATGTGCATTTAGTGTTCTGCCTGCATGTAAGTCTGTGTGAGAGTGTTAGATCCCCTGGAAGTGGAGTTACAGACAGCTGTGACTGCCATGTGGGTGCTGGGAATTGAACCAGGGTCCTTTGGAAGAGTAGCCATTGCTCTTAACCACTGAGCCATCTCTCCAGCCTTTTTAAAATGGTTTCTCTGGTGATTAATGTACTTTTTATGTACTTTTTACCCATCCCTTTATCTTCTCAGATTAAATTCTGATGAAATCTGCTCATTTTTAATAGTATGCAGTTGGTTTTTTAACAATTCAATCTTGGATCTTTTGTATATTCTGGACACAAGCATTTGTCAGTCTGCTTCTGGCAATTATTCTCTTCCAGTCAGTGCATTCCACTTTTGTGTTCATTGGTGTTTTATAAAAATTAGTTATTTTTTGATTTGGTAAGGTCCAATTTACAAATACTTTCTTTTATGTGTCATACTTTTGTTGTTGTAGCTAATATATCTTGGACTAGCCCAAGGTCACAGAACTGTGTTTCCTTCTAGACATAGAAAGACACCATATATTTAAGTGCCAGATGCAAAATTTTATATATGCAGTGAAAATGAATTAATATTGATGGCTTATGGATATCTGACTGCTACAGCATCATTTGTAGATCACCTTCTCTACTAAATTGTCTTTGCATCATTGTTGAAAGTCATTTAGCCTGCATAGTATGACTGTATCCCTTGGCTTTCAATTCAGTTCCTCAAAAAGGGTACACTAGACCCTAGATCTTTGGGAGATCCCTAAGCCTACATGTGCAGAAAAGACTCTACAGAATATAGACAATAATGTTGATTGCAAAAGGTTCTATTAGGTAGATAAATTTGCAGGCAGAAATACTTATTTTACTAAGAAACATTAAAATACAACTCAAAGATTTTTCAACGTTGAATTTTTATTTTGAATTATTTATTCATACAAAATAAAATCTGGGGTGGCAGGAGGGAAGAGAGAGGGATCTGTGGTTGGTATGTAAAAATGAATAAAACATTTCTTAATAAAAAATAAATAAAAATAAAATCTGTTCATGCCAAAATATTTCAAAGACCAAGTACCTGATGCCCTTAAGAATGGCAAGATGTGCCGGGCGGTGGTGGCGCACGCCTTTAATCCCAGCACTCGGGAGGCAGAGCCAGGCGGATCTCTGTGAGTTCGAGGCCAGCCTGGGCTACCAAGTGAGTTCCAGGAAAAGGCGCAAAGCTACACAGAGAAACCCTGTCTCGAAAAACCAAAAAAAAAAAAAAAAAAAAAAAAGAATGGCAAGATGTACAAAGTCTGAACATCAGTGGTACTGATCCAGAGGGTCCTTTAGATAGAGATTTTAAAATATTTTCAAGGCAGTATTACCTGTTTTTAATACTGAAAGATCTCTTTTTCAACTTATGTCTTGACATTGTACTCACCTTAAACTCCCACACACTTCCAAATTGAGAAAATTATAAGCTAAGTAAATCTTTACAAAATGTAGCAAAGAGAAAAGAATAAGTTTTCAAAAAAATTAACTTAATATTCGTGAACATTTTTGATAGAGCATGGAATATACTCTGAAATTTGCAGAATGTCATCTTAAAGTCTACCTAAGTGCTTGACAATTTCTTTCTTTCTTTCTTTTTTTTTTTTTGGTTTTTCGAGACAGGGTTTCTCTATGTAGCTTTGCGCCTTTCCTGGAACTCACTCTGTAGCCCAGGCTGGCCTCGAACTCACAGAGATCCGCCTGGCTCTGCCTCCTGAGTGCTGGGATTAAAGGTGGGCGCCACCACTGCCTGGCCTTGACAATTTCTTTTGAAAATTAAATCCAACATCCATTATAAACAACACTCTGTCTAGAAGTCTCTGCGATCTAGGGTTCAGCCACTGTGAGATGTTAAAGGAAGAGCATTAGAATGGATCGTCTCATTGGGTCAAAACTGAGCTATACAGTAATATCACTCAGTCTGAAGTGGACAAAGAGTGACAAAACTGATTTGTCTGGAACTGACAACATGGTGAATGACTAGGGAGTTTATTCCTTGCAAAACTTAGTAACAGAAACATTCCAAAACAGAACATCCAGCACTCATCTGGCAGGAAGTAAACACACTGGAGAATACTCTTAACATCAACCCAGGAGTCAACTTTAGTTCCTAAGACAAATCAGACATCATTCTCCAGGGTCTAGCTGGTTAAGAGTAGTCTTTAGCTCTGGTCAAGGAGATGCCTCTTTGCAACAGCCAGAGACCATTGCAGAAAACGGCAACTAATCAAAATGCACAGCTGTGGAGTCCAGTTCCAACGGATACATCCACAACTCCTGCACCTAAGGCTCAGGGACGTTGCAGAAGAGGAGACTCAAAGAGTCTAAGAGTCAGAGGATCAGTTTGCTGTGAGACTGATTCCTTAAAGCAGAAGCTACACCCATAAAGTCTCACCAATATGGCTGCTAAACATGTCACTAAACATGACACCAACAGACACATTAACGTGGGCTGGAAAAGTTAATGAGTTTTAACCCTAGACAAAGACCTTGAGGAAACTAAGGAATACTGAGAGTGGGAGAAATCATTGTTCTCAGGGAAGACACACCAATTGGTTACTCAACACCAAATGGTCAGGCCTGAAAGCATATATACAAGTAACATGATACAAACTGAACAGGTTATATCTAAGAATATACAAACATATGTAACAACAATTAAAGAAAAAGAGGTCATAAATTTGAAAGAAAGCAAGAGGTCACGTAGGAGGGTTTGGAGGGAGGAAAGGGAAGAGGGAAATGGTATAATTATACTATAATTAAAAAAATAAAAATTACCACTAATAAACCAAATCACTTTATCATTTAATACTGTTGTGGTGATAGGAAAAAAATGTAGAAAAACAAAACAGCAGGCATTAGCCTTTTTGTTGTTGTTGTTTTTACTTCGTCCCTTTCTCAATCTTTTTTCAAAATGGAATCAAGATAATATCACAAATAATGATTTTATATTTTTAAACACTAGGTTATTGGATTAAGGTAGTCCTTACATCAGTGTTAACATTTGTTTGCAACTGAATGCAAATTCAAAGTCAACTTTCTTTCCATAATACCTCCTTGTTTGTAATGGCCAATAACTAACACATAGTCAGTAATAACTAACACATAGTCACTGCTACATATGGAAAATGCTAAATAAAAAGGTGCTCAAGCCATGTCTGTGTGGAGCTTCCAAAGTTTGATACACAACTAATCAAATGCAGATATGCAGATAAGTAGATTATCTACTACACGCAGCAAAAAATGCCCTA